ATGGGTTTTACATGAAGTACCAAGGATGGTCCTCCATCAGTTTTCCATCAGTTTGGGTTTAGCAGACACCTAAGAACCTTTTTTCCTTTTCCAGTTGCGTAGCTTAGAAGCGTTGTCCTTATTTGAAAAAGTAATGTACTTTTTCTGACACATGCATGATTTTTCTTTTGCGTTCTTTTCTTCTTCTTATTCTCTTCCTTTAATCACACGATCATGTTGAGAGCTTTCATATGATCGTAGACGATGTCTGAGTAGTCCTTTGAGACTTGATTCTTTAAGTGCTTTTGTGGTAGTCTTCGTCTACGTTTCTTAGTTCATTTGCGTCTCAAGATTTGATCTTCGTCTAAGCATTAGTCCTTAATGTTTTTGACTTTCTAAGGTCTAGTCAACATTGTAGATGGACAGACTTTGTTTTCGTCTGGAATACCTTTTAGTCTGTGATGTTCTTCGTCTTGATATTTGTTTTGGCCTTTCGTCTGGCTTGAAGATTTTCTTCCTTTCTCTTGGCACATGCATATTCTCTATTCTTCAACTTGCCTGTACTTATGTTTTTCTGAAACACTAACACACTTGTTAGAAATAACAACATGTATTATATTTGTCTCATTCAAAACCTTACTGGAAATTGCTTCGTCTGACTTCACAGGGTTAGTTTAGAATTTCATTATTATTATTTTGTTATGGAAAAACTCATATTTCATTTTCTTGTAAATTCCGCATTTGACTATGATTTACGTTTACGAATGTGAATTCTCTACTCTTATGTTAGTGGAACCATTGTTTTAATTCAGAAGATTTTATTTACTCTGAGAATATGATTTTATAACTATTGTATATGTGTGTTAGGGTAGAGGGTGTCACACCTTACATCTTCAAATTCATAAAACACTTTAAACTTAAACAACATAATATTTAACTTATATAATCTTATCATAAATCATCATCATCATCACCATATATATATATATATATATATATATATATATATATCATCCTCAGCATGTATCAACATTCCAAGATTAAGAGTCAATCGTCAACATTCTATATCAACAAAAGATGTAAAGATACACGATACATAAGTTTTACAAAAATAGGATTATTTCTAAGTGAGAACAAAACTATCTAGTGCTCATCATTGAGAGAGTTACTCTCATTTAGCACGAAAAATCGACTTTAGCTCTCCTCACTGAGTGGGCTTTAGCTCATTGGATGACCAAACTCATGTAGAGTGAGTCGCCTAGTGGCCTAAAGCTTGTTGAGCAAAAAAAACATTTTTTTGGGTCTTTTCTTGGGGCAACTATAACTCACTAAGAGAGTATAACCTTATGAGTTGTTTCACTGGGCACACCATGCGTTGTCGAGTGAGCTCTCATAAGAGCTACCATAAATCCATTTTCTCTCTATGCAAAAATCATGTCAATGAGCAAGAAATTTTTTTTGTTGAAAGAAGATCATCAATTATAGGTGCACGTTGGGTGAGCATCCATCCTTGTTGGGTGAAAAGATGAATCTATATGAATGAATCTCCTTCATGGAGATTCATCTTCTCTCATCAAATCCAGCCACCACATCTTAAATTCTTCATACAAAAACCATCAAAACTAGTTTGAACAACATATACAACATGAATTCAACATCTATTTCATCTTGCAACATCAAAAACATCACAAAATTACAACTTCCTTAGGTCACAGGTTTGCTTGCACTTGAAAACTCAAACTTCACAACTTAGAAAACAACATCCAATCTAAAAAACTAAGCCATCAATGGGCTAAACAACATCCTTCATAACTTAAAAACAACTCAAAGATTCAAATAACAAACCCATCATTACCTCAATTGCTTCACAAAGCAAGAAGAAGAGAAGAAAACTGAGAAACCTTGAAACCTTTCATACAATAAGTTATCTTTAACATTCATGGCTCCTTAGCTTGAACCTCTACCTTGACTACTTAATCTCTACTCAAGGGAGGATCTAGATGCTCTTGATGAAGCCAGAAGAAGAAAAGGTATTCCTTCACTTTAGAGTTTATCTCTTTAACACCTTTCAAGAATTCATAGAAATGAATTTATGAAGTTTAAGTTCTCTAAAAATCTTACATACCTTCCTCCAATCTTGGTCAACTATGACCTCAACTAAAACATTTTTAAACAACTTAACTCTTAAAAATACCTTGCGTCTTAGAACCTTATAAAAACAACTAACAACACAAGATAACAACTCATATTATCATAAAATAACATGTAATACATCATCATGCCATAAAAGCATTAAAACACATAGTGTTACAAAGTTTCTATTTAGTGAAAAAAAAGTCCTAATTGTAAAAAGGAAACAAATTCTTAAAAGAAGTACAATATTTTTTAATTCTAAAATCCTAAAGGAAATAATACCATTCTATATATAAACAATATCTCTTATATTTGAAATTTAATTTTTTTTATTGTTATTCTAACATTTCCTCTCTCAATTAAAAGTTTGAGACTATGTCTTCAACTTTTGTTATCACGAATTCTCATCAAAATCTTCTTCAATCATGCTTATTCTCTGCGAAGTTTTGGGTGTTTGTTTTCCTCCACTCCACTAGTATTTTGAACCATTGTGTGTCAAACTTCAAGACTATAAAAGAGCTCTAATGCTATTGTTGGCACAAAAAAAAGTCTCCTTCTCTTTTATACACAACAATGAGAGAACACACAAATAAAAACACTATAAAAGAACAAAGAAAAATTACACTAGATTTATTTAACATGATTCAGTCCCTCATGCATATGTCCAAAGATTGTTCATTATCTCAAAAATATACTTTAAGTTTTTTGAGAAATCTTCCCTACAAGTTTTTGGAGGAACTTGAGAAACCTTGTTACATGTTTTGTGGAAAAACTTTGGAAAAATCCTTCTTATAAGTTTTATGGATTGAAACTGGGTAAAACCTTCTCTTCATATGAACCCCTCTCTCAATCAAGATGGTAACTCGTTTATAAGTTGGATAGTTCTTCTATTCTCAAGAATTTCTATTTATTGACTTCATATTCCAATTTTAAAAGAGAAAATAAATCCTTAAAATAAGTACTATACTTTCAATTCTAGACTATATTATAAATAAAATATTGATTCTATATCTAAATTGAAAATGAAAATTTGAATTGTCATCCCAACAGATGATCACAAACCACCCTTTGAAAAGCTCACTTAGGGTGTAGTGATTAGACTATTAGTGTGAGATATTAACGAGTCTCTAAATGACACTAACTAAGCAAGATATGTGTAAGACCATAATGCACACCACTCAAATAGACACTTTTATTATATGTTATGTTCTAAAGTCTTGTTAAAGAGGATATGTCTTGAGATCCATCTTGAAAGATAAACACATCAAGTTAGTTTAATAATGTAATGAAGTGTTTGTTTTTAAAGTTAGTACTATGTGCATATTCATTCAAGACTTTTCTAAATTCTTCTTATTATTTTGATTTATTCTTTTTATTTTAATTTGTTGTTAATTTTGTTGTATTGATAAATAATATATTAACCTTTTCTATTTTTATTTTTAACATAAACTATAATGGTGACTCTCTATTTTAAGATTAGTATTTTTCATCATCTAGTTGTGAGCCAATTATGACACATAATAACAAATAACACAAAATTATAAAAGTACACTCAATGAAAGTCATAACAATAAATATAAAGTTAATTTAGCACATAATTCATTTATTCAACACAGTACTTTTGTTTCAAAAACAAGCAATACATTACGATATTACATCTTGGTGCAATCAGTGGGCTTAAAGGACACAGTCTTCTTCACCAAATCAAATCCAATCAAATAGTTCATCTGCGCTAAGTTTCCAAAGATGATACCGGGTATTGGCAAGCGCACAATAGTAAAGCATATTACATTATCTTTAACTTCAATAAAAGTGCTAGAAGGATTCAACACAACGTCCGCACCAGCAAAATGTGCTGTGATAAATGGAATCCCAGTTTCATTATTTGCTGGAGACTTGTAACAAAGGCTGAAATATCTTTTTGGGCTTTGAACACGTTCTAGTTTGATTTGTGCCATCACTTCTGGCTCCAATTTGGCGTAAAAATTGTCTTCCATAAAGGTCAATGTTGTTCCAGAGTCGATTACCGCATTACCGTTAGCATCAATTGAGGTTGAATTATCTACAAACTCTATTCGTTTGGACCCAACACTCATTCCCTCCAATTTAAGGAAATAAAGAGTATCGAGTGAACCTTGTTTCAATGGAGTAGAAACTGTTCCAGGGCCAGCCACCACAGCATTTATTCCAAAATTTAATTTACTTGTGCCTTTTGATTTAAAATATGGTAAGCAATAGGAGAATTTGAAATCAATTGAAGGACCCATTTGGGTGATAAGTGAAACACCACCCTTTCCTAGCCCAACTACACCAAACCTATTAGAGTAAAATTTACGAGCTTGGTCACAACCAATGGGAAACTTGGGAAATGCAACAGAGGAACCTGAAAAGAAATATAAAATTAACTAATGCATTAATTGGTATGAATGAAAAATAATGAAAATAAATAAATTCATAGACCATAATAAAGAATAATATTTATAGGTATTAAATAAACGAAGTCGTATAAAAATAATTAAAATTTTTAATCGATTAAAGACATTAATTAGCAAAGTAAAAGTAGAAAATTATATAAATATACTCTTTTGTGTCATTATTATAAAATTTAGAAGAAAACTAGTCTTTTTTATAAATTATTTTACAAATTTTTTAAAATATTAATTTTATTTTTTTATTTTTCTTTATTAAAGAGTTTGAGTATTTGAACTTCTTGTAATTGAATAATAAGATAATTAAATGTTCTATCTCTCATATTTTGAACACCCATTTTCACTTCCCTCTCGTCTTGCATATAAGAAAAAAAAAACAACTCTTACTAGTTTAATTGTTTATATTATTTAATTTTGTTAATCTCATTTAAAAAAATAACTTAGTTTTTTAAACTAACATTTCTTGAAATTTGGTATCAGGGATATTGAAAATACAGCCTTAATTAAATGAAGGTATATTTTAAAAATAACAATATTGAAAAGAGTGAGATTTGTTTATATTTAAGACAAAAAAAATGAAGTATTTTTTTTTTACTTGCATTCAGGGTTGGAGGAAGTTTCATTTTATTGGTACTTATTGGGATGGCAACGGGACGACTCGGGTATGGGTTATATGATATCCGTCCTCGTCCTCGTAACACAAACTCATCCTCGTACCCGTACCCGTACCTGTCAGGTATGTAATTTTTATCTCCATCCCCGTCCCCGTCAGATATCGGATATACTCGTACCCGTACCCATACCCGTAAAATATTATTTTTTTTTTGCAAAAAAAATACATAATATTTTTAAATTATTTTTCTATTATATTATAATTATAATTAGATTATTTCTTTATTTCATATTTTAATCAAGAAATTTCTTAATAATTACAAAATTATAAATGTTTCACATTATAATAAATAATTACACATAATAAAATATTAAAAAAATTTAATATAATTAAATCGGGTACGGGTACGGGTACGGGACAGATATGTATATACTCATACCCGTACCCGTACCCGGTTTAATTTATCGGGTTTTACCCGTACCCGTACCCGTACCCGATCAAATCGAGTATTCCCCGTCAAAGTCGGGACGAGTTCTGGTACTACTCACAGGTACGAGTTTATTTGTCATCCCTAGTACTTATGCATAAAATTAGAGTTATATCTTTCTTGATCCCATATAAAGTTAATAAAAATAAATAGAAATAAATACTTGCATATTACATATATATGTCTTATAATAACTACTTATATTTCTTTAACCAAACCTTAAGATATTTGTTGCTTTCTTCTAAATTTAAGTTAAGAAATAATTAAATTAAAAAATATATGTAAATTGATGTAACATAATTTAGGAGTTGAAGATAAGTGATTAATATATTAAATTTAAGGATAAATTGTTTGATTAATGTTCAAATTCAGTGTTTAATAAAAGTAATTTTTGTTAGATTTTATTTACTTTTCAATCGAGTCAGATTAGTTTAAGATATAGTTTTAGAATACCGACAAGAAATTAAAAAAAACATGAGTCTTCTATGAAATGTATACCCAACCTGTAATAGAGCTGAACGTGAGTGTTTCAAATGCTAGAGTTCCTTTTGTAAATGTTTGATCATCGTATATGATACGGTACTTGCAATTGGGATCATCCTTGGAGTGGCACAAGTTTTCGTGCGATGTTAACAATGAGTCACACTCCTTAGAATCGCAAGAGATGGGTTTGTATGTTGAGGATTTGGAAGGGTCGAAAAATGGGGTGGTTTGGTTGGAACACCCTTTGCAAGGGTTGCATTGTAACCAAACAAGGTCACTACCCGTGTCAACAAACCCCATCACTTCAAACGGTGGCGTTCCGATCGAGTACCTCATAAGGTAAGCACCACTGTTGGCGATTATCTCAGACAGTGGTGTCATTTGGGAAGCTTTGGATTTGGGGTAGAAATTGTTCACACGGTTAATGGAGCGGTGAAAAGCATTGTGAAGTTGCTGAAAAGGGGTTTCGGTGGGGTCGTAGAATGGTGAAATAATTACACATAATAAAATATTAAAAAAATTTAATATAATTAAATCGGGTACGGGTACGGGTACGGGACAGATATGTATATACTCATACCCGTACCCGTACCCGGTTTAATTTATCGGGTTTTACCCGTACCCGTACCCGTACCCGATCAAATCGAGTATTCCCCGTCAAAGTCGGGACGAGTTCTGGTACTACTCACAGGTACGAGTTTATTTGTCATCCCTAGTACTTATGCATAAAATTAGAGTTATATCTTTCTTGATCCCATATAAAGTTAATAAAAATAAATAGAAATAAATACTTGCATATTACATATATATGTCTTATAATAACTACTTATATTTCTTTAACCAAACCTTAAGATATTTGTTGCTTTCTTCTAAATTTAAGTTAAGAAATAATTAAATTAAAAAATATATGTAAATTGATGTAACATAATTTAGGAGTTGAAGATAAGTGATTAATATATTAAATTTAAGGATAAATTGTTTGATTAATGTTCAAATTCAGTGTTTAATAAAAGTAATTTTTGTTAGATTTTATTTACTTTTCAATCGAGTCAGATTAGTTTAAGATATAGTTTTAGAATACCGACAAGAAATTAAAAAAAACATGAGTCTTCTATGAAATGTATACCCAACCTGTAATAGAGCTGAACGTGAGTGTTTCAAATGCTAGAGTTCCTTTTGTAAATGTTTGATCATCGTATATGATACGGTACTTGCAATTGGGATCATCCTTGGAGTGGCACAAGTTTTCGTGCGATGTTAACAATGAGTCACACTCCTTAGAATCGCAAGAGATGGGTTTGTATGTTGAGGATTTGGAAGGGTCGAAAAATGGGGTGGTTTGGTTGGAACACCCTTTGCAAGGGTTGCATTGTAACCAAACAAGGTCACTACCCGTGTCAACAAACCCCATCACTTCAAACGGTGGCGTTCCGATCGAGTACCTCATAAGGTAAGCACCACTGTTGGCGATTATCTCAGACAGTGGTGTCATTTGGGAAGCTTTGGATTTGGGGTAGAAATTGTTCACACGGTTAATGGAGCGGTGAAAAGCATTGTGAAGTTGCTGAAAAGGGGTTTCGGTGGGGTCGTAGAATGGTGACTGTGGAGAGTTTCTGTGAATGAGTTCCACACTGAAGCCACCTTTGAGTCCCTCATCTGTGAGGACTAAACCACAAAAGCAAAGGATTTGATAATGTGAGTGCTAAGAAAACAAAGACAACATTAGCGTAATTCATGTTGTATGGATTGAATGAAAGGGAGTGGATGGAAAGAGGGTTGTGCATATGGTACTATATATTGAGGTGATGGAACCCAGTGAGTTAATGTTGATAATTAAAATTAAAGAGTGATTAATTATTTTTTATTTAATATTAAAGTTGCATTATAATATGTAATTAAGTGTTTATGATTCCAATCAATAATTAGTCCCTAAACATATCTTTTCAAATTTATTTTAGTTCTTATATAGATCTTTATAGTTTATATGTCTTTTTTTTTTAATTATTTTAGTTCCTTTTGTTATTTGTCTTTTGTCACGTTTTTTTTTTGTTTTGTATTGATGTAACAGAGGTCTTTAATTTTGTGAAAGTAAAAAAAAATGATAACTCAACAATGAACATCACAAATAATAGTACAATACAAAAGAGGTACAAAATGTTGTCAAGAGACCTAATTTAAAATAATTTTAATAAAATAAAATTGAAATTAAACATACAAAATTAAATTAATATCCTTATCAAGTTAACATAAAAGAGACAGCCTTACAAAAAAAAAATAACGACAATGACTAAAATAGTTAAAAAAAACTACAAGTATAAAGACTTAAAAGGTCTATTTTAAATTATAAAGACTAAAAAGAAATAAAAAAGATAAATATAGGAACTAAAAGAGTGTATTTTAAACTATAAAAAATAAAAAATAAAAAAAGTAAAACTAATAAGGATAAAAAAAAACATTTTAATCAATTTTATTATATGTCATATAGAAAAAAATTCAACCCACTTTGAAAATGTGATCAAAGACTGCTTAATAATTTATCCTCCCTTTAATAATGAAATTGATAATGTGTGATTTTATTGAGAAAAATTGTATTAAAAAAATGATTGTTGTACATGAAAATGATATTTTTATAATAATTTATACAACATCATTTTTGTGTGTATGTATCTCTTTTTATGATATATATTATTTATTATATTTATTAATGATAGTTAGATACATTAAAAAAATATAATAAATGATATGTTGTGTGAGTTATTACATATTTATATTTACTCAAATAATATTAAAAATGAATTTAAAGATGAGAAAAAATATTGACTAATTGAGAGTATAATATGGAATGTACATGCATAGGATATATAGAAGAAATGAATTATTCATATCTATTTGAGAGAGAAAAGAATGAGGATTCGGATACCAAAATTTTGCATTTTAATTTATATGTAGGAATATGCATTATGAATTGCAAAAGGGAAATTGAAAATATTTTTATATAATTATAATAATATTTTAATAAATAAATTATATTTTTAAATTTATTATAAATAATTTATATTGTGATAAAAAAAAATATTTTTAATTGTTAATAATTTATTTTATAAAACTATGAAATATAAAAATTTGATTTATTTTAAAAACGAGGGTTTTGTCACTCGTAAGATTATATCCGTTCCAACAAAATTGTATGCGATGATCTAAAAGAAAATGGCAGATTAAATGCTATTGACTATAAAGAAAAACAAGTAAACAAATATGCTCCTCGTATAAATCTAAATATTAAAGTACATTATTAGAATTTAATATTATTCAATAATAGTTGTTTTTTTTAGATAGCGTATTTAGAAACTATTATCATTTTGAGTCGCAAGTTTTATCTTAATTTTATTCTGAACATATTTTAAGAATTATTTCATATATAAAATTTTTAACAGCCAACCAAAAATTTTCTTTCTCACCATATATTAAATTCCATTTGAATTTTTCTATTCTAAAAAATGTTTTAATTCATAATTCTATAAAAGATTAAAAATAAATGTATATTTTCATATGGGATAGAGTAATATGCATAGGATTTTAAGTTTGAATTTTAGTGTTATCATTGTAATTCTAATGGATAAAAAATATTATTTTTGTAAAGTTAATAGTTATACTAAATTAAATAAATAATATTTAATAATAATTAAAAATTACTATTAATTATATTTAATAAATTTAATGTTTAACATTTAATGATGAAAAACCTTGTTTACTTATGATTCTTTTAATAATACATTATTATAATTAAATATTTTATTAAAATTTTGAATATATATGTCATTTTATTTATTTATTCTTCTCTCCATTTAGTGTGAGGAAGAAAAACTAAGTCTATAGATAATTATCATTTCATCTTTTTAATATAATAGTAATTACTTTTTTATTTATAACCCTAATAATATCTTTTTAGAAAATTATTATTTTTTAAGGGTAGAAAATCATTATTGTGTTGCATCATTTTTTGAAAAGTAGACCAACAAATGATTGATTTAAGCAATACTTGTGAATGAAAAAAAAAAAAACATGGTTAGAAAGAGATACCCTATTAATGATGGCCAACCAAGGTCAAGTGTTTGGATGAAGATTAGTCATAGAAAAGTTCATGAATACTTCATACAAATAACATGATTAAATAATGTTTACGAAAGCACATTGATAATAAATTATTTTTGCAAAACTATTATTCTCCTTGTAAAACAAAAAACTTAAGACAACACTTATTACAAGACTAAATACAAGGAAAATGATTAATTGCGACGGACAAATTGTGACGGTTATTCTGAAACCGTCGTCGCTTTGATATTGTGACTCTTCATACGACGGTTTCTTCCAACTGTCGCAAAATTTTTCAACATTGAGACGGTTTCTCCCAAAACCGTTGCAAAATTTTCCAACATTGTGACGGTTTCTCCCAACCGTCACAAAATTTTCCAACATTGCGATGGTTCCTCCTAATCGTTGCAATTTACAAGACAAAAATTGAAATAAAAATTCACACAAAATCATGCACACTCCAAAATTATATAATTTTACTTTCAATAAAAAATAAAATAATAATGAAATGTAATTACATTTAGAAATGTTAAAAAGGAAAAAAATACTTTAATGTACTATATTAATTTTATTTCTCTATCTTTTAAATTATTTTAGGATTAAAAAAATTTATGTTAATCCTAGGAAGCTAAAAATTAAAAAAAATATATATATGTGTTACATTTTTTTTTATTGTTAGTGAAATTAATAATACATCTTAATTGTGAATTAAATCAAGAAAATTGAAAAAATAATAAATAATTTATGAAATTTATTATTTTAATGGTTAGTTAAATATGAGATATTTGATAAATTAATTGTTTTTTCACAAATAGTAACTTAAAAATCACTTCTAGGTTTGAATATAATACACACACACACACATATATATATATATATAACCCTTATTTAATTAGAATTTAAAAGTTATTTTTAGTACAAACTAAATATTATTTTGTTCAAAAATAACGGTGAAATTTGATAAAGTTTAGGATTGAAAATACATTTAATAGTAGATTAGACCAAAAGTAATATTTTTCTTTTGGAAGTATTATATTATCTTAATAAACTTATATTTTATTAACAATTTTATATATATTTTGTTTAATATAAGATACACAATTATTATCAAAAAATTATATATATATATATATATATATATATTAGATTAA